ATAAAGAACAAATCTATTTTTTACATCTTAAGCTGGCAGACGACGGTGCAGCATGACTGATAGCCTTCGGCATCTTCTGGGTGCTTCACAGAAAATACTGGGCGCTTGGCAGAAAATAGCATACTACGACTGATATCCATCATCATCGAGACTGTTCGATAGGACTGAGCATGTCTGCCCAGGTGCCCGTGATTGACAGCCACTGCAGTACGATGACGACGGATATCAGTCGTAATATACCATCTTCTACCAAAAGGCAAGGGGCTGCTGTTGTGTGCAGTGCAGCCCCACGTCTGCCAGCCCCACGTTGGCCAGCACCCAGATCGCCAATGAAGGCTACCAGTCATACTGCACCGTCTACTGCCAAAAGGCAATTAGCTGCTGCTGTGTAGCAATGCAGTACCACGTCTGCCGGCACCCAGAGGACATATGGTGACGGTGAGCTGAGCTGAGCAGGCTCCATGCTTGGCGTGGTATGTTATCTGCACAGGTAACCCAGGTAAAAAGGCGCGATCGATTGTCTGCCGTTGCTCTGACGGAGGGGGAGGGGCCTGACGACATGTACCCAGAACCCCCCGCGACACTGTTTTGCATCATTCAGGCATTGGGATCTCAACCCAGAATTCCAATGGGCGGTGGAGACTGCGGGAACTGTGGGATAGCTACCCACAGTCCAACGCTCTGGAAGTCGACGCTAGCCTCGGTACTGTGGACGCAGTCGCCGACTTAATGCACTTAGAGCATTTTATGTGGGGACACAGACAATTGGCTGTATACAACCGATTTCTATAAAACTGGCTTCTATAAATTCGACCTAATTTCATAGTGTAGACATACCCTGAGGCAAAAGAGGCCTGAAATTTGGAAGACATTAATGCACATTTATTTAAGGGATGATCCAACACCCATTTAAGTCAGTAAGAGTCTTCCCACTGACTTCAGTGGAAACTGGAGCAGGCCCTTAATTTGTTGGTCATGATGAGGCCTGCTGCTTTTGGTAATCTTAAAGGGTATAAAGGGTATTATTTATGGAGTTATTAAAAGCAGTTTATGCACCTATGAGAAACTTTAGAAACCCGACGTATGGATGTTTGATTTTTATGGAGTTCAGGAAATCCACACAAGAGGAACTTCAGCTTCCTAAACATCACCTATTGACATGTGTGCTTTAAGATGGTGCAGATGATCTTTTGTGGAACTGTCAAAGCTGCTGGAGGGTGTGAATTTTCAAAGGTGCTCAGCATTGGCTTTAACTCTGCCGCAAGTCAACAGTAAAACTCCCACTGACATCAATGGGAGCAGGGTTAAATCAACATTGAGCGTTTTTTAAATCCCATCTGAGCTGTGCGGAATGATCCAAGAAGCTTGCATCAGGCGAGAGGGGACCTCCTAAGATCCATAAAGTGGAGGTGCCTTCCTAGAGGCAGATCTGACTCAGTCCTACATCCCCAAATTAAGGCAGTAATTTGAAGTCTTTAAGCCAAGACCTGATCTTTTTCTCACAGATACATTACAGCTCATACAGAAATTATGGATTCGATACAGAAATTATTGGGTGAGGTCCTCTGGTCTGCGTTATGCAGAAGATCAGATTAGACAATCACAATGGTCACTTCTGACCTAAAAAAACCCAGGAAAAAATAAGTTAATGCAGATAACTTTGTGGATTTACACATAAGACCATAGTCCTCTGTGGATGATAAAGAGAATTCATTAAACATGATGTATTTATTTAGCTTAAAGAAGTACTTTTGACCCAATGCCCCAGTGTAAAGTATCACCTCACCCCACAACTGTGCAGTGCCCCTCCCCCCCACAACCTCAGAGGTTGCTGCAGTATCTATGTAATTTGTAAAGCGTCTCCATATGAAAAGCACCATACACATATAAAATATTATTACAGTACTTTACTTCCTACTGAACCAGGAATTCTGTTTTGCCTATGATAGTGAACGTTAACGACTGCTGCATAATCAGGACAATACTAGCATAAATTCTACTGCATGGGGATATATTCAGCTAGTGCCAAGGAGTTAAGTGGTGGTGAACATGGTGTTAAATAGGATTTTATATATATTATTCACACATACACAAATATTTGATTACATTACACACGTGTTAAAGGATGTAGAGTTAAGTGAAACATCTTTTCAAACTACCTTACATTGTATATAAAATGCATGAATATTTTATGGTAGCTCAGGTTCTCTTCTCAGTTATAAACCTGTGGAACTTCATTGATTTCAGTGGGATTAATTGGTGTGAGAGCAACATTTTACAAAAATTAGTAATATTGATGGAGTGTGTCTCAGAATTTAATACAATTCTATGCTCCCATCCCACCTTTGAACAGAGTCTGGGTCCCAAACCATCAGTGGGTCTAGAACGGTCTAGGTGGACTGCCTGTCACTGCCCCCATGATACCCCACCCCACACATGCCCTGGAAACACTCCACTCTATGCTCTCATTTCAGCTGGACCAGGGCAGCAGGGAGCAGCATGATGAGTGAGATGCAGCCAGCAGCAGCACAGAGGAAGCGGCCAGAGCCAGCACGCGAACAGTCATCAGCCTGGTAGCGAATGCGGCCCAACTGCAAAGAGAAAGGGGCCAGCTGGTGCTGAAGAAGGGGGCGTCACCTCACCTTGATGCAGGGGAAGACTGGGACTGTTTGGTTCCTTTGCCAGGAGGAGAATCTGTGGGGTGTTTGGTGTCTGTTTCAGCAAGACCCCCTAGCCATAAAAGGATCTTTGAGAGGCTAGTTCTCTCCAAAGACGAAGACGGACCGGAGGGCTGTTTTGTGCTTTGTTTCATTGTAGTCTTCCACTCTCACTTACAGGGATGTAGCAGGAGCCCTACTGGAATTCTCTGTCCACTTAAGGGGACAGGGTGGAGACAGAGAGCAAGAGGGGGCTGGGCTAGAAATGGGGATAAAGGGCCACCCCACCCCACTTTACATGATGTCTGAGAGAGAGAGAATACATAACCATGAGTCCCCAAAAAAAGACAAAATGCAGTTGGAGGGTCACCTTAGTAAAAAGGTTAGGAACCACTGTTTTAATACAAAGGGCACTAATGTGAATCTATTTGAAGCCCCATTTCTGTCTCAGGATTGGGTTTGGTAAGCCAAGTCTACTCAGTCACACACAATGAAACATTCCACTATACACGTGCTGTGTCTCAATCTTACCTTTGCCAGCTCTTTACGAAGTTGCATCTTTGCCCGTTCTGCAGAATTCAGATTCTGAGAACTGTAGTTGTAGACCGACTTGCCGTCAGCAGGAGAACTCCTGATGGCTCTGAACTTTGGCTTTTTCACTTTCCTACTGAGTAGGTACACGGCATCAATGTTAGTCTGAACAGAAAAATTACACAGCAGTTTAGTGTAACAAAGTTTAACCCTCATGATAAAATAACTGTGCTTCCAGATACACCAACAGAGCTTCCTCCATTGGCCATCACCCCAAAAGGGGGCACCTTAATAGATCTTGAGGCGTCATCTTTTCTGATGACTAGGGTGCTAGTCACTCAGTCTGCTTGTGCAGAAGGCACTCTGCAGGGTCCCGGCAGTTCCTCAGTGGTGAGTGCCCACAGCACAAGACCTCATACACATGGGTCTAAGCAATGGTGCTCATGGGGTGACGTTTGCTTGGCCGTGTATGCGCATGTGATGCCAAGGGAAATAAAACCCAACAACGCATTATTTTATTTCTACAAATCTTCTATGTTAACACCAAAAGCAAGAAGTTCCTACCTCATGTCCCTTTGCAAACAGCCTTGCTGGTATGGTATAAATATACCCTCATGTTCTTTTCATTGATTTGAGATAGCCATATTGGGACCCTTTGTGGCCTTTGAGGAAATAATGTGCCCCTCAGGTGCTAGCACAAATGAACATAGATTGTGTTTACATGACTTACCATCCTCTGTTGACTTAGAAAGAAATCCTAACATGTTATAGGCATTTGGCTGCAAAATGTTTGTTTTGTCAGAAAGGTTGAAAGTCGACATTAGCCTACAAATAAGAAGGAACATTCCTGTTTTTCTATAGCAGACCTTTCTGCCAGACTTCTCCACTGCGTACCCAAAAACTACAGAATGGGAACTGGTTATGTACTTCTATGGGGCAAGTTGCATATTTTACACAGATAATAAAATAACCCCTTTTTTCATTTGTACATAGTTCTCAGGGCTAGGCTCCCTGATCCTTCTATGGGTATGTCCACTCTGCAGCTGGGACTGTGCCTCCCAGCCCGGCTAGACAGACTTACGCTAGCTCGACCCAGGGTCGAATGCTTCTGAGCTCAGGAAGCTAGGCCCAAACTCCCACTAGTCCTGCAACATCCACTCTGCTATTTTTAGCACAATTCTGTCTAGCCAGGCTGGGAGGGATGCTCTCCCCTGCAGTGTAGACAAACCCAGGGACGTTACAGCAGCATGTAACCAGGATGCTTACATGAGACTGCTTCCCTCCGGGCCTCCCACAACTGCCCCTTTATCAACAACAGACTCAGTATAAACAACACTAAAGTGTCCAACTTATTGTAACATCGACAGCACGAGTACTCACAAAGCAGGGTATTGGGAAACAGGAATGGAACTTTACACACATGCCAAGGGAAACCTTCTTTATATTAAAATACACACAGGAAATACACATTCAAAAGAATGCCTCACAAACAAAGGATGCTTATTAGTCCTCAAATAAATGTGTTCTTAATAACATGACCTCAGCCTCTCAGATCTCCCAGGAAAGCTTCTCTGGATGACATCAAAGATGGTTGGGAACACTCTTGGGCCTGGTCTACGTTACAGGGTTAGGTTGACATAAGCTGCCTTGCATTGACCTAGCTGTGGAAGTGTCTTCACTTAAATTTGGCTCCTGCTGACGAAGTGCCTCTCTACACCAATTTAATAACACCACCTCCTCGAGCGGTGCAGAGTCACGGTCGATGTAATTAGGTCGCCACAGTGTCAGTGTAGCCACTGCATTGCTTACATTGACAGTTATTGGCTTTCAGGAGCCATCTCACAATGCCCCTCACTGACAATACAATCGGTACAAATGTTCCTGGTGAGGCTGCACACCACCGACACAAGGAGCTAAGAGTGCGCGCGCGCACACACACACAAGTGATTTTATAACTGCAGTGGCTGTATGTCAACAGAACTTTTGTAGTGTAGATATGGCATTAGGCTCAGCCTGCTTTCTTCTCAGGCAGTATATGGAGAGGGGCTGCTTCCCACCATAGCAACAAGAGCCAGAAGTTCTATATCCCTTCCCTAACTACTTGCGTGGGGCTCTGTGCTTCACTGTCCGTGCCTTTCAGCTATTCTCAGGTGGTAGTGAGTATCATTTCAACTGCTAGCTAAAAACAGCTGGTTGGCACAAAGCACCTGCGTCTCCTCCTCCACTAAGGGCAAGAGGCGGTAGTAAATTTTACATCATTTGTGCATGGTAGGTTCGCCTGTCCTAAGGCACCTGAAGCCTGGATTAGAAGCTGAGGCAAGAACAAGGAACAACATGAAAGGGCGGAGTGCTTGTAGGAGAGAAAAAGGCAAGGAAGAGAAGGAACCAGCCGAAGCTAGAATAAGAACGCTATTAAATAGTTAACCCACCTCCCTCTTTGCTTTCATGTATGCTCTCTTCATCTGTAACCACTATGCTTTTTTCCCCCGACGAACAGTCAGTTCTGCAATATACCTTGTGCAGTAAATAAAATACTGCTGATCTTGTCCAATGGATGGTTTTATTAAATGTTTCCAACTCTAAAAGACTATAGTTCTGGAGAGGGTAGGGGGAATTAAGGGGATGCATTATTGTGACTATTAGTATTGCTTCAAGTACGATAGTTCTACATCCCACACAACTCACCTGGATGTGGTCTTTGTAATGCTGCATTTTATCTTCCATTTCCTTTTTACACTGAATGTACTTTTCATTGTGGTTATCCAGTAAAGAATGCATTGCTCCTTGTTTTATGATAACTTTTCTGGAGTTTTGCAAAGCAAATGGGGAGACTGAGGGCAGGGAAGGTCTTTGAATAAACAAATCCTCCTTAGTTAGGGGAATCCCAAATTCCTGACTCAAGACTGTGATCATTTCTGCAGAGGGCAACAGACCTCTCTGAACGACATCCCTTAACTTCTTACTGTGGCAGAGATAATCAAGCCTACAAACACAAGCAGACAGAATACTTCAGTAGATTATCACAAAATGTACCAAGTTTTATTCTGATCACATAACAAGCATTAAACTATTACTCATGAAAAAACACACAGTTCTATCTTAACATCTTCTTGCTAAATGAATGGGGCACTTCAGTTCACTTACACTGGCACTTAGCATGACCCAACTGGAAAAAGGCGGCATGCTAAAGATTTATCAAAAACTACTAACGATATGCTACGAGAGGTCCTAAGGGGAAAGACTGAACAGTGACTTAAAAAGTTAGATGTTGACTATAATTTAGCTAGAAAATGGGTGTAAGTAGTAAAGCTGTATTAATTGGACTGGTCAGGCATTCATTGTATGATAAAGCAAACTCCCTTTACAGGATTGGTATATGACCTACATTCATTGTACACTGAAAGCTAACTCGGTGCCAAGTATTCTCTTTTACCTTTAACACCCATTTCCTGACTACCTTACAACACATGCATAACACCACAATTCATGCCACTGCTAAATTTGTCCCAGAGAGTTTCATGGAAATTGCACTTGCTTACTGCACACTGAACTTGGCCTTTGATTTCTAGAATTATCCCACAAAGAAAAGAAAAATTATCCCACGAGAAAAAGGATGTTCCGGGGCTGGGGAGGGACAAGGAAGTGGAGAGCAGGATGGGAGAACATTATGCCCTCTGGCAGCCTTGGCTGGAGGAACAGCCCCTTCGGAATCATTTTCTGCTGTTAGGCCTTGTCTACACAAAGTTGCACTGGTTTAACTAAAATGGGTTTCAAACCTGATTGAATTAAACCCCTATGTGGGGTTCACTTTATCCTAAGATAATTACTTATCAGCTTAAGCTAAATTGACATAAGACAGGTTCAAATCAATTTTGAATGCGTGCACATAGGGCTTTCCACCAGTTTAACTAAATCGGTTTAAAAAAACATACTGGAGAGCAGAGGAAGCAATATACATCACACACGTTTTGCATAATATAATAAAGTGACTGTTTTCCAAATGAACCATAGCTGTTACTTTCTGTGCAAGTTAGACAGCGAATTCCCTGTTGTATGCAATAAGAATTATTAAACTAAAGAAGTAAGGTTATTGTCAAAACTAGAGACAGAGTTCTGCTCATTCTTTTGTCCATATGCTTGATTTTGGACTGAGGTTAAAAGTTGAACATTTTCACACTCTAAAAATTTAGAATTGTAAAATCACTGCAATGAGTATATTTTCCTTAACACTGTTTCTGAACAAAATATATAAAAACTAGTTGATAACATTTAATCACACAAATTACAACTGCTTTAATGACTCAAAGGTTTTGCCAGAGTTTCTTTTTTATACTGATGTTTCAAAACATGTTGTTAAACAGAGTTAACAAGTATGTCCAGCTGATGTACTGAGAAGCAGAAGTTTCAATAATGGATGCAGGAAACTGAACTATAGGATGACTTGAACACAATACAGTAGAATCCCGATTTTTATGATCTTATGTACGACCTGTTATAGGAACAATTTTTTTGCTGCTGAAGTTGTCATTCTGCTGCCAAATATAACTTCAATCCTTCAGTCAACATTCAAGCGCCTGTAAAGGTTTGAAAGGACTGAGAAATTTGGTGACAAAAAAAAAGAGATGCAGTACTCCCAAACTAATAAAAGTCAAGCACACTATACATTTGTTACCATTCGTTACGTAAACCATCAATGACCGATTAATACATTAATTTATGTGCCATATCTATTCTTATTTTGAGAGTTTCAATTTTATAAGCTCTTCAATCAGTTCACGAAATAAAGGTTCTACTGTACATGGCAGCTATACCTGACTCCAGACTTTATTTGCATCCTTCTAAGCTGCTCTCTCTGAGTTTATGACAGCGAGTACTACAGAGCATATTGACTTTTCTGCAGCTCCACTTCTCACTAGCACAGAAATGACAGCTGTATTTTAAGCCACTCTGACCACCATGTTTCATACTGACAGCCTTTCAGACATTGATTTCCACTGAAGGAACCTCCGCTACAATTATCAAAAGCACTGCATAGCTGCTGCTCCATAAACCTGGGATAATTTTTCCCATAGAAGATAGACCATAATAAAGTTGCTTCAAGAAACAAACTATTACGCACCTATTATCAGCAGAATTTTTCAACATATATACAATGTGCACAGTTGTGTTATTCCCTGGCTCAAATTTTGGCAATTTCCCAGGATTTTGTCCTTTTGCAGTTTGCTGGCAAGCTGCGTTTGAGGAGATGAAATCTTTTTAAGGACACTGAGGTGACACTTAGCTTTCAATGGAAGTTCTCACTAAATTCCTTTCCTCACTTATTGGTTTCCCACAGAAAACATATACAAATATAACAAATTTTGGCTACATATATAAAGACAGTCTTCATAGAGAAAGGACTCAGGACCTTCAAAAGCAAAACTACAGTCCTTCTACCCCTTGAGCTAAACTCCAATCACTGTCAGTAAATAACAGGCTCTTAAAAACTTACTTGGCCAGCAAGTAGAGCAGCGGTTCCCAAACTATGAGTCATGACCCCAAATGGGGTCGCACCATTAGCAGATTGGACCTGCAACCCCACAGGCCAGATTTGGCCTGCAAGGTGATGGGGTCTGCCCCAGAACGTGCCCAAAACTTCTCCACAAGTGCCGTGCCAGAAGGCCACCATTTTGATCTAGTGGTGTGCACAAGGTTACGCTGGATGGAGACCACCATTTTGTAAAATGTCAGCCTCCTGGCCTGGCATCTGTGGAGCAGGTGAGGACATATTGGCTGTACTGATGCTATTTTATCATTTGCACCATCCGGCTGTGCAAGCATCTAGTCAAGAGACTTGAATCCAGAAGATCCTTATCTGTGGACAGCGGTCTTAACATAGCATCCTCTCTGCTTGAGCGGGTAGCCTGTGCTAGCCTTTTCTGAGATGGGAATCTGCAGCGGCTTGTAAGCTCCTTAAGGCAGAGCCCATGTCTTCTTTTATGCCAGCCTGAATACCCTGCAGGCATGCAATAAAGAACCATTGTAAGTTCCTGTTTCTGCGCTGCCCTACCATCACCACACAGGGTCTTCCTAAGTCCAGGCCTCACTTGCTTACAAGTGAATTCCTCTTTCTGATTTGTGATAAGAGGCACAATGGACTCATTTTTACGCAGAGTATCTGCTTCAACCTCCAGCAGAGAGTCTAGTGATGCAGTTCTGAACAGAAAACAAGAGTGCAAGAAACATGCTTGCAAATCTGATGAGGCTTTCTTGGAGTATGGCTTCACCAGTGTTTTCGTCAAGAACAAAGAAAGGCCGAAATGCCTGCTATGACACACGGTGTTATCTAGCTAAAGCAGGATGCCTCATAACCCTTCACCAGGAACACACAGGGAAACCAAGGTCATTTTTCCAGCGCTGGAAAGAAAAACTTTTGCATCAACAACTGCAATTCAAGAGATCCATGTCCATCTCTGACCACAGTCAAAAGGCATCATTTCAGGTGAGTGACTGCATTCGGTAAGCCAAGGAGCCTCACACAATTGGAGAGACTTTAATTTTGCCAGCTGCAATTGATATGGTGAAGATAATGTATGGGGAAACTGAGGCAAACAAACTCAAAGCCATATCACTCTCAAACAATACAGTGAAGCAAAGGATTAAGGCAAGAACAGCAGATCAGGAAAACACACTGGTGGAGCATCTGCCAAACACGTATGCTTTTGCTCTTCAGGTTGATGTGAGCACTGAGGATTGTAATGCACATTTCTTGGCTTTGTAAATACACAAATGCAATTCTCCAAGCCATTCTGTTCTGTATCCCTCCTCTCGGACATGAGATGACACAAGGAATGCTGGATGTACTACACAGGCACATGCAATATAAAAATATCCCGTGTGATCGCATGGTAGGCTTTTGTACAGATGGAGCTCCCTCTGTCTATGGCAGGCCTCAAAGCAGGTGTATGTGCTTTGGTAAAGAAAGTTGCTCTGTCTGCTGTGTAAGCTCACTGCATGACTCACAGAGAACAGCTGGCTTTTAAAGCTCTGAGTCCAGAGTTAAGTGAAGTTTTGCAGCAGATCTTGTCTATTGTGAACTACATTAGGTCTTAGCCTCTACACGTGTTTCTGTTTGCAAAACTCCATGAAGACACAGGGTCAGATCATTACGTGTTGTTGTTCCACCCTGAAGTTCGTTGGCTATCAAAAGGAAAAACACCGGGACAATTTTTTGAACCAAGAGATAAGCTGCGTGCCTGTGGGATGGACTGCACAAGGAGTGAATTCATTGACTTTCTATGTGACCAAAGGAAGATGTGCTTTCTTGCCTATGTCACTGACATATTTGGGAAACTGAATGAACTGAATATGGGTTTGCAAGGAAAGAACACCCACATGCTTCAGCTGAGTGACTGAATCACAGCATTCATGAAGAAAAGTATTTTCTGGAAGAATAAACTATTGAAGACAAACTATGAATTCTTCCCACAGCTTTGCAAGTTCCTGGTTAATTTTATTGTCATTCAGCCTCCCACACAGGTAATGGCTAAGCATCTCAGCCAGATGGGGGAAAAGTTTGCATCCTTTTTCCCTGACTGGGACATGACAAAGTGGGTGCGAAACTCCTTTCTTTGCAAGCCTAATGCCATAGAACTGCCAGCAGGTGCAATTGAACAGCTCATTGAAATTTCCTGGGATTGCTTCTTGCGAGGAACATATGCCCAGCTTATGCTCCCAGAGCTCTGGTTCACTGTCAAGAATGAATATCCTGCACTCTCAACACACGCCTTGAAACTGATAGTACCATTTGCGAACATGTATTTCTGTGAGGCTGGATTCATCCCACATGTGCCAATCAAGTCTCAGTATCAATCTACCACTAATGTCACATTGGAGATTAAATGTGCAATGTCTCAAAGCCGCCAGACTTTGAGAAGCTGTGTCGCAACATACTAGCCCATGTGTCACATTAGAGAGCATTAAATAACATACTTAATATGTAAATTCCCGTGGTCACTATGTTGCTTTGTTTTTGTCTAGGGTCACAGGAAACAGTAAGTCTCAAAATGGGGCAAAAAGTTTGGGAATCATAGATAGATAGATAGATAGATAGATAGATAGATAGATAGATAGATAGATAGATAGATAGATAGATAGATTATAGGACTGGAAGGG